GGGACCTCTGCCATGCAGTTCTTCCTATTGGCTCGGCAAAGAATTGACAATAGAGGTAGAAGGTAGCCTGGTGCATATGGGACTGGACTTTAACTGCTTGTTACTGCCCTCTGGGCACTGGAGAGCAGGACTGTGATTCTGAAGGACCTGGTCAGGCTGGAGTAATGGTCTGGCAGGAACTTCACAAAGTTCAAGAATGCAAATGTAAATCTTAGACCTTGGGAGGGATTATCCCATGTACCAGTACAGGCTGGGGGGTGACCAGCTAGGAAGCAGCTCTGCACAGAAAGACCTGGTGGTCTAAATGGGCAGTAAGATGAACAAGAGCCAGCAAAGGTGGCCAGCAGCATCCTAGCCAGAATGTCTTAGCAAGAATGTAGCCAGCGGGTCCAGGAGGGTGATCCACCCCTTCTATTCAGCAGTTGCGAGACCATTTCTGGAGTGCTCTGTCCAAAATTTTGTCTCCCAGTACAGGGGGGATATTGGCATCCTGAAGTGAGTCCTGAACAGGGCAAGGAGGATGGTCTGAGCACCCGATGTATGAGAAGATGTTGAGAGAGATGGGTTTATTCAGTCCAGAGGAGTAAAGGCTCAAGGAGACCTTATTAATTCCTGACCAGAGGACACAAAAATGATGGTGCCAGACTCTTTGCAGAGGTACGTGGTGATGGGACATGAGGCAGCAAAGGAAAGTTGGAACACACTAAATTCTGATTAGACATTAGCAAAAGCTTTTTTACCAGGAGGGCATCCAAGTAGCAGGGCATTAGAGAGGCTGTGAGATCTCCATCCTTGGAGATCTTCAAGCCATGAGCAACCTTATCTGATTAGAGTTTTAAGTAGTGGGTTGGGCTAGATAACTTCTAAAGGTCCCCTTCCAGACTAAATTATTCTTTGAGTCTATGGCCTTCAGATGTAGTGTTACAATGTACAAGAGAGAGTGAGAATGCCAAAAGAAAAATAGAGAAGTCAGAAAGAAAAGGGGAAAAAAAAGTTAAAATAGTCAAAATGTTAACTGGAGAAAAAAGCCACAGAGATGCTGATATTTTAGTGATATCCTAAGAAAAAGTAACTGTTGAGAAATACGGTGTCACTTTAGAAATTAACTACTACAATGTTCACTTTTATAACATCCTTGAGTATCTTAGGAAAATGCTACTCATTAGAAATGCTTTAAACTAGAATTATTCTATTTTAAATTACATGTAGAACAATACATTGTACTTTAAAAGATATTGTTTTTCCAAAGTGAAGCACTTAGAAGTCTGGAAATGACAAAATTTAGACTGATTTAATTCTGCTGTTTCTACATGTATATTGAATAACGTTAATGGTGGCATGATAACTTAATATACGAGCATGAGCTGTGTTTCCAGAGGATCTCTGCCTCACCAAGGTAATGAAGCAGGCAGTCAGTTCTTCTTAGAAGCTTTACTATTTATTTATTGCATTTTGCCTCCATAGTGACTTTTTATTGGGTACAACAGTATTTATTTTGTTGGGATACTTCTGTGGTCTTTGTGACTTTAGCATATGGGTTCTCATAGGCAGTAATGGACACCTCTGTCAGATTTGGAGATGTTATGTTTTTTTCTGTTGTCTAAGAGGGATTTCATATACAGACAGATCGAGATTCGTCAAAACTGTCCACTGATGGCAAAATAAATTTGGGTGCTTTACACCTAATATTTGAGAATACAAATTATATTACAAGCTTGTAATATCACACATTTAAAACGTCCTTGCTATTGATTTGTCAACATGAGCTCCAAACCTGAATCCAGGCAACTCACTCAGACATTTAAAAAATGAGTAATTTGTACAGTGGAAATGCACATTGTGTGAAATTACATTGACCTGCAACTTATGTCATCAGCAAAGGTCATGTCTTCCTAGTGACACTGGGGAGATCCTTATTACTTAAAAGAATAGCTTCAGTAGCTAATCCTTCTGTGGATAGACCCCCCCAAGGGAGACAGGGCAGAGACTTTTCCAGTTGATTTCATATCCATTCACTAAAGGAATAAAGATGGTCACCGTACTCCTTAAGTCAAAGTCAAATTTCAGAGGCAATGGTGCTTGTTACATTGTTATGAACTCTGCTATTTCAGTTTCTCCTTTCTGCCTTGTCCCATTTTGCCTCTATATCATTGGTAATGTATTTATGCTGTCTGTCTCCTTTCTAGCCTTCCTTGCTCCTCTGTGGACCCCAGGATCCCTCCCTAACCCCTGAACCATTGATGTCTGATGGTGCCTTAGGACCAAGCTGTCCTGCCACTTGGGCTGTCTCTCCCATCCTCCTTGAGCTGCACATCTCTGAGGTGGGGGGACATCTCCATTCCCACAGTGGGCTCTCAAAGGTACTTTAGGAACAGTGGGTGGCCAGAAAGCAGAGACTGGAGCATACCCTTTTGCCCAGACGTTGTTCTTTCAGACACAGAAGCTGTAAATGGATGCAGTGTACTCACTACAGATGAAATCCTTGGAGAATTTAAGATGCAAACACATGTCTCTTGAGCATAGCAAACTGCAGTGTGACGTGCAGGTTGCAGTTGGGTTTGTGTTTTGGGGGAGCTATATGCCAACTTCCTGCTTCTCAGTGAGAAACCTGTTGAAGTCGTTTGTTTTGTTTGGGGTTTTTTTGTGTTTTGTTTGGGTTTTTTTGTTTTTTGGTTTGTTTTTTTTTAGACAGTGAAAATATGTATTTTTCAGACTACATATGACTGAACTTTAGCTGGAACTTAAACAAAAAAAAAATCAACCTCAGTGAGATATCTTGCAGAGGCAACTCTAGCCCAAATAGCCAAGGTTTAATAAAGTAAAAACAAATTGATCCTTGTACAGAAAGTGCTGGCAACATTAACTACAGGCACCAGTGCTATTATATATCCCAAGTTTTCATATATGCCAGTAAACTGTTGATATTTTCTCTTCCTTTTTATGAAATACTATAACAAAACCATGATTCTGCATTTCATACAGTTTTGAGATAGTGTGTTTATCTTGGCACAGCTATGCTTTTTATTGATTTTTAAATCTTTTGTGATTTTTTAATTATATTTGCTATGTTCTTCCAATAATTCACATTTTAAAATTGGGAGGCATTACAAACATGACTCAAATAAATTAATTAACTAACATAATTAATGTCTGGTACATACCTACTGAAGTAATACCGGACATCAAAAAAAAACAAACCACCACCAACAACAAAACCCCAAACCCAAAAATCTAATTTCCATCCAAGTTGTAGCAGTAACGGGTCAAGGCAATGCATTTCTTCTTCAGGATTAATAATAGACTGGTGTTGGTTGATTCCCAGATAGCTGTGGCTTAGAGCCCTCAGAAACACACCTAACTTCTCCTAACATCACACAGTTTGTATACACACTCTGATACAACTGCTACTACTGTATCAGGGTACTGGGCTTTTGGTTGTGTTTTTAACAGAGATGGCATCTAAATATTTAAGAAAACGAGAAATTGTTGGAATACATGTAAATGTTTTTCTACCCAGGACTAGAGCTCGTATCTAACTCCTATAAACAGCTGTAGGAGCAAAGCTGTTTGTGCTCTGAGGAGTCTGCAGTGTAAATAATATTATTTCTGTTTCTGCCTTAAAGGACGATGAACAGAGGAAAATTAAACTTGGGAGTTCTGTAAACCATTAGAATTTAGTCTTGCACCTTTTGAAATTAATGACAACATTCCCATAGTTAGAAGAAAGAAAGATCATGATCATAGAAAGAAAACCAAAGCTTTGGAAGAAAAAAAAAAAAGCTAAATAATATTAATAGGGAGATTATAGTTACCACTTAAGAGACAGCTTTTTTTTCTCTTTCTTCACTAGATGATGGCTTTCCTGGCTCAATTTTTCCCTTACCATTTTATAGTGCTGCTCAAATGTAAGTAGCAGCATTCGCTTTCAAATCTGCGGGTTGCATCTTCCTCCTCTTCCTTTTTAATAATCCTTAATGGACATTATACCCCGTCTTCGTATTCTTGCGTGTTTCTATCTCAGGAGGGAGAGCTGCTTTAGACCGTGAATTATACTAGTACCAGTGTTACTAACTAACCAAAACATTTGCCCTTGACATTCTCCGCATCATAATGCTAATTAAGCAAAATTAACAGAGATGAAATTGAAAACCGGGCAAAGTACTCATCCCGCCTCAAGATTTAATTTGGGATGAGAAACGCTGCTGACGGGAGAGGGAAGCAGGAATTGCGAGTATGTCCATGCACGGACAACCAAACGCTGAATTATTATTATTATTATTATTTATTTATTTTTAAACCTCCCATTAATAACTCGCGACTTAAAGGTCACTTCGGAAAAGGAATCAAGGTCAGACACCGCTAAATCCTGCATCCGAAGCGGCCTTGCCTTTCTCCCGCTTCCTCGCCCCACCGTAACGCCGAGCCGGCAGCGGGGGCGCCGGGGCTGCCCAGCCCCCGGTACGGCCCCCC